TAATTAATTAAGAGAGAAGAACCCTGTGAGTGAAAGAAAAAAAAAATTAAAGTACATACTTAATACATTATTAAAATGAAACTGATATAATTATGTGAAATATTATCGGTCCTTGATCAGACATAAACGTCCATGTTTCTCTTTGAGGTGATGTAAGTCCTATATCCTTTAATAACTGGTTTAGAAACCACAACCACGTGTCCTTTGTTTTGGAGGAAACAATAACAAATTCTATAAGGAAAAGACCGTTGTTTCCATCTTGAGCTACAACAGATAAAAATTGGCCACTGTAACACCCCTTCAAGAAGCATCCGTCAATGGAAATCGAAGGCCGACATCCAGATAGAAAACTTTTTCTACAGGCATCGATGCAAACATAAAGTCGATCGAACCTAGAAGGCACACCAGTGGTTAATATCTCAAATGTAGTTCCCGGATTAATTCTCAGGAGTTCCGCACGATAATCCCAGAGTCTTGCATATTGATCATCAAGATTACCATCCATTGATTGAAGGGACAAGCTTCTTACTCTATAGGCTTTTGATGATCTTGTTTTCAACTTAAACTTGTCGCTAATATGTGCTTTTAACTCCAACCCAGTCATGTTTGAAAATTTTTTCAAGTCATTAGTAACTTGTGTGGCTAACCATTTGGTATCTACAAACCTGGATTTTACATCTCCTTTTTTACAGTTATGCTCTCCATAATATTTCTTCACCTCATATGTTTCAAGATTGCCCACTTTTGAACAATATATAAGCCACGGATAGGAAGAAACACAACATGCTCTACATTTTTTTTTTTCCTTTCCTCATAAATGTCAAGTCATAGCCGTTGTATATCCCATTGCTTTTCACAGCCTCATAAAATTCATTGATATAAGAGAACTTTTGGCCTAATCTAAAACTTACTCCTCCGTATGTACTTTCAGCGTGTGATGACTCGACCTCATCCTCACTGTCCAATGAGTGAGAACCAGAGTATCCTATGCTCTTTAATTGGTTGCATGATTTTATTGGACCACTAAAAGAGCTTTGCAGTCTACCATCCGAACACACGTTATTTTTTGATGGATCAGTAGGTAAATTTTCCTCACACATCTGTAAGTTGAAAAAATAGAATTAATCATTTAGAGTATATATTTCACTAAGCACAAACTTGTACAATATACTAACAAATACACTAATAATTCGATCAACAATGGAAATCCAATTTTGAATCTTAAGTGTTCAATCAGATAAAAAGTAAGATTATCTAAAATGACAAAATTAAGCAGAACAAATATAAAACATGAACAATTAGTATTAAAACAAAATGAAAAAAATAAAGGACATAGATAATATAACAAAATATTTGGTCAGCTTTTCTTTGATCTATATCTGCGAATGAAATGGCAGTAGCCCTAAGTTTAGAGGCCTTATAGTAAAACTAGCAATGAAAAAAAAAATACCTTTCAAGACTTTATTCAATGAATAATGGGATGTAAAATTTTAAGAAAGTAATTTTACACAGATGAAGATGGTGGTTCACGCATAGAGATGAAAAGTAGGGTTCATTTTTGGGTAAATTTCATCAAATCCTTCTGTATTATACTAAATCTGCGTGTTATCCCCCTGTAATTTAAAAATAGCGTCAAACCCCCTTGTAATGTACTTTTGCATGCGCGAAGCACCCTAAACCGTCTAAGATGACGGAAGTGGTGTGCGCGCGCGTGCTGTGCGATTTTTTCTTCATTTTTTCACCCCAAAGTCACAAAAATTACTGTTTTACCCTTGAATTATTTGCAAAACCTAAATGGTATGAATGTGGGCAACAAGATTCGAACCTCGATTGAAAAGGAAGGGAATGGCCGCTCAACCACTAGGCCATATTGGTGGATGTGTAATCTATTGAACCTAAATATATCTATACATCATACTGAAATGAATTAAATAGTTTAAAAATAAGTAAATAAATAAAATAAAAGGATAATATGTCAATTTACTAATATATATGATATATTAATATATATTATATATTATATTATATATATAATATAATCGTTAATTATATAATATATATATATATTATATTATATAATCGTTATTTAATAATCGTTATATATATTACATATAATATACATATAAAATATTATATGTATAATATTATATATATATATTTTGTCGTAGAAAAGGTAGACGTCCCTCATTGAAGTAAATCTTTCCACGGTACTCGGACAAAGCCTAATACGATTATGAGAGGGGCCCGCCTAACCACTCTCCCCTCCCCTTCTCACGGAAAGAAAGAAAGAGAAAGTGACAGGACCCAACCGGCGGCACAGCTAGCCAGGCAAACACCACAAGCCTCTTATCCATTCTCATTGGGTTATATAATTGTTATTTAATAATCGTTATATATATATTACATATAATATACATATAAAATATTATATGTATAATATTATATATATATATTAGTATATT